TGAAGAGGTGGACGCACACTCGTGAGCACACCACCGAAGGAATTCTGGACGCTCGATTGGTCCGTGGCCACTACCAGTCCTGTGAAACCTGACCTGACCTGACCTAACTGAACTGAACTGAACTAACTTGACCTTACAAACGTGGCGCGAAATCGAATAATTTTGTTACTAATCTCTCCGTAATGTCGGCATCTAGTGCCAGCGGTTTCGATCGTTTCGTCACTATATTTTCGCCGGACGGCAGGTTGTTCCAAGTTGGTTAGTCAGCATAAATTTTATTTCACTTGCTCTTCTCAATTAGAATACTCACTTAAGGCGGTTAGCGTTGATGGTTTGATATCTGTTGGTGTACGCGGTGATGACTGTGCAGTTGTCGCTTCGCAACTGAAACTACCAGATAAACTAATTGAACGGGAATCGGTAACCAGGTTGTTTCGGTTGACTGATTCGACTGGATGCATCATGACAGGCATGTTGCCGGACTGTTATGCTCAGGTACACCGCGCACGCTATGAAGCTGCAAACTTCAAGTACAAACATGGGTAGGTTTTTATCATTAATATCAGTAGTAATGTTTCAGGTATGAAATGCCGTGTGACGTGCTTGTACGTCGGATAGGTGAAATCAATCAAGTGTATACTCAATCTGCGGAGATGCGGCCCCTTGGCTGCGCAATGTTGGCTATATCATACGATGATGAACTAGGGAAGCCTCAGCTTTATAAGGTAGATCCTAGTGGGTTCGTGGCTGGTCATCATGCAGTGGCTGTGGGAGACAAGCAAGTCCCCGCCATGACATTCCTCGAAAAAGAAGTGAGTTTTGACTGAGGTATCTGTGTGCGCAAATTACATATCAACATTATTGAATTGCTTCCATCAAACATAGATATTTGAGTAGTGTTTTATCTGTGTTCTGTGCTCTAACAATGCTACTAGATGTAAACTTCATTTTGCATTTAATAGGTTATCATTAATTGTGTTACTCGCTAATTAGACATCGTTTTCTACGAGTGAAAGTCTTTAGTGTCAGGTCAACTGCAAGTGGTTCACCGACCCGGTTATAACCCAGGATATTGGTTTCTTTTAATCTCACTCTAATAGGGAAATCGCCGTTCGAGACGCTTAGTCACTTGGGAGTGTTCCGCGAGGTGCAATGGAGGAATGACCAGCCGCAACCCGACCAGTAACTAGCAGCGCGCTAAACTTTGGAGGGCTATAAACAACTATTCCAAACTTGAGGTTTCTTACCATTTTATTCTTTGACTTTGTGGTTGTTTTCGACTGAGTGAATCTTATGATTATCTACCCAAAAGTGATAAGGACACTTGCTACTGTTGTTTAACGGACTGTTAAACCCACTTATCATCAAGGTAATCACTGAATAAGAAAAACAGAAACAACCGAATTCAATTGAAGTTCACGAGTTTTATTTTGGTTAACTATCCTTCAGGTTTCAGTTCCCTCATAATCTAGTTAAGATTACGCTGCTTCAGAATGGAGTTTTGATTCTGTAGGAGGTAATCAGTGACGTATTTTTCAACTCGATCCCAGACCCGTCGCACTTAAGGCCGGAATCAGCAACTCTAATTTTTCAAACTTCACCTTCAGCGACGACTAGTCAGGTCAACGGACGAAGCATCTGACTATTGCCCCATTTGAAAGTTCAGTTGAAATCAGTTCCTTGATATTGATCCTTACCTTCGACTAACGACGACTTTCAATTCTTGAAGGCATAACTAAGATGGGTATATTCTCAAAAACCTTTGAAGGTTTGGGGCACGTCGTTTACTTTGGCTACTATTTTAGCAATGACATTTGAGGCCTTAAGTTAGTCCTGATTATAACGGGACAAACTTCTCACCTTGCAGAGTGATGCCAGTGGTTTGTTTGGGCTCATTAAAAGTATGGCAATAGAGAAAGTAAGTCATCTTCGGAAGGTCTAAAGTTCGTATCAAGAAAGCACCATCACGCGGTTAAAGATATGTGATTGCTTTGGTAGTGACCCATTAGGAAGAAGGCTTTCTTATCCTGAGTAAATGATATTACCTTTTATCTACTACTGACGGTAACTAGGTGCCAACGGATGACGTGGAGCCGAAAAATGAAGAAATGCACAGAGCGATTAGGTAGAGTAGGTGTCTCTCGCCCTCCAGGTTAGAGTCCAAGAGACTCCGTAACCGGATGGTGGGAAACTCCGAAGGTCATGGCAGCAAACTGACAGCAGTGGAGCTCTCGCTGTCACTTCTTATCCAACTAGAATGCTTGAAAACGTGCTTCAATTTCTGTTTGTACAACCATTAACCATGTACTTTTGTGCACCGGTTTTGGTTGCTGTCCTTTGACCGCTCATCTGAATGAAGCAGTAGGAGAATGACAGGAGAGTTGAAGGTAAGGTCTAATAGAAAATGGAGTTTCAGTGGATTAAGATAGAAAAGAGATTAAGAAGATACACGAAAGCCACTGTTTACGACTCACTCAGTGTATCTAACCATCGGTTACGATCATCCCGAGGTCCCCATCCCGGGAGCCTAACGGGACCTATGTGAACCATTCCAATCCCAGTGTGTGTAACGTTGGACTGTGCACTCTGCGTGACCATAGAGGTTCGCTTTCTTTTCTGGCCCCTAAAACAGTCCCAATCCCTATCCTCCTTAGACATCCCACTCACCTAGTATGCAGATCCTATTAGACCACCTGCGTTGAGTCGGACCATGCACTAGTTCTGTTACGCTTCACTCGACGACTCATCAGTCATTGACAGAAATCTCCTCAGTTAACTCATCATCGTCTGATCGATCCAACTGTCTACGCACGTTATGAGGAGAGGCTGGGAACTAGGAGAACCGTGATATGATGGAGTAGACCAACAGTGGAATCAGATTAGATTTGCGATGCACTCAGCAGCCAACTTTGCTTATGGGACCGAGTTCGAAGTTCGCCGAAGGCATTAGATCTCTCAGGAGTCAATACTCCTGATGGATGTAGAGCGAAATGTCTCCATCTACCAGGATCAGGATAAGGACCGATGTCTCCTGAAACGTCAACTCCGGAATAGCCTTATGAAAGGTCACGAAAATTGGTGGGCTAAAATAGCTAGTGAAACGGAGGTAGCTTCTGCATCAGGGAATAGTCAAAGGCTGTTTAAAGAAAACACTTCAGCTCCCTGTCCGAGCGAGAAAGGCGACAATTTATCAGGTATCCGATTTCCACACCCGAGAGCAACCATTCGCTTTGCCAATCGCAAAGGGTACTGAAAAGAAGTAGTATCTATTGCCACTGTCCTCGACTTGATAAGTTCTCTTGTCACTACAGGCAAGAACATTTTCAAAATTCTAACTACTCCATAGTGTAGGTCAGTTTCATCAATAACCCAGTACAGAAACTCGGAAGATGAGTGGAGCACTTTGATCAAGTGCTGCCTGGGCCATTAAGGTGGACAAACAATCTCATGAACTCCACGGACATCGTGCCATACCTAATCAGTTCCGACGCGTCGCGATAAGAAGAACTCACCGCCACCATAAGAGCGTTGAGAGACGGAAAGTCTTTGGATTGGGATAATATGCATCTGGAGATTCTATATTCTATATTCTGTTGATTTACACTAACCAACCCGATGTATTCGCTATTTTGCATCATCTTGTAAGTCCGGAGCCCCCATCCCACCCGAAAAAGGGCTAGGCTAATCTCATTCTATTCACTGTCCGCAAAATAACGACGGAGTAGTTTGTAGCAACTATCTGAGGGATTAACCCTATCGACATTGCTACCAAATTGTTAAATCTCTTCTTCTCGACCATAGACATTCACACCGGACCAGGTCAGAGCTACTCCTATTACAGGAAGGGTTGTGTAAACCAGTTAGAAATGAAGGATGAATTCTATAAGGACCTCTCAACCGCTGTATAGTGCTCGACCAACGGACATCGTGGTAGTCGCTGGAAACTCAATGCCCTAGTGAGATCCCTGGACGGATCAGAAAGGCTTCTTGGTGATTATGATGCAGTCCCAGCCAACCGAACAGGCAGTGAAGAATGCCTACTCTTCTTTTGCACTGACCACGGACTGTTGCTTTCACGCACCGACTTCTGGCACCAGAACCGACACCGCCTTACATGGAAACTGACCACGTCTTCACAGCTACGGACTTGAATCGACCACATCACCATCAGCTACCGCTGACGAAGATCCATTCGAGACTGCTGCTTTACTGGTCAGCACCCATGGACATGGACCATGCTCTGCTACGAGCCAGATTCTCCTTACATCTGGTAAATAACCGCTGTAAACGGGCACCCTCACGACTGCCTCAGCCATAATTACAAATCAGCCGCCGAAGCGGAACTTTCTTATCGGCATTCAGCTCAACCACCAGTCGAAAAACTCAGTGAACACTGGATGGTAATCAAGGAAGCGATCCAAATGTCAATCAAATCAACGGCAGATTCTGTTGTCCGGTCAAAGCAAGAACGACAAATCTCCTTGACCTTGGCTGCCCAGCTAGACACCCGCAAAGCCATGCGACAGCGCGCGAATCCCTTAAACCCCAGCTCATTCAGAGCCTGAGGAATCACCACGAGAAGTGGTGGATAGCAAAGTGCAAAGATATGGAGAAGTCTTCCGCTATCGGCAATAGTTGCAACCTTTTTCGTTTAATCAGGAGCACAGGTTCAAGGAAAGTCGGTGTAAGTGAGGTAATCAAAGAATCTGATGACACACGGATTCATGTTCAGCAACACCGTCTTGAACGATGGGCAGAGTATTGTAAGTCAGTTCAACCAGCCCTTGTCGACACAACACCTCCCAATGCCTGCCTCAGCTTGGCAAACACTGCCAGTAGATATCAGTCCTCCATTGAAATAGAAGTTACCCAGGAAATAAGTTATCTCAAAAGGTATAAGGTTTCCAGCCAGGATGGGAGGTGTCCACCGGATTTTAAGGATGGAGGTTCAGCCTTGAAGTTAATGAAAGTCATGAGGACAGTGTGGTTGATGGAACAGGTTCCTACGAAATGGTGTGAATCGGTCATACTGATTTACGGGAAAGGTCTTGTGAGAACCACCGAGGAATTAGTTTACTCAACGTTGTCTCTAAAATTCTCACTGTTATTATATTCCGTTGATTGTCCGTCACCCGCGAATGGTATGCGCGTGAGAACCAGGCTGGTTCAAGACTTGATCTAGGCTCTATCAACCACATTTCCACTCTTAGAACTCAAACACTCCTTTCGTAGACCCACCATTTTTATCTTCCTCAATCTGAAAGCGGCTTGCGACTCACTTTTTCGCCCGAGTTTATTACGGAAAGGGGTGTTCGTCAGGGTTGCTTTATCTCTCCTTTTCTATGTAACTTTGTCACAGATTTAATTCCTGAAGCAGCCTTGTCCTCGTGCGAGGACAGTGACATCGATTAACTTCCAGGTGATAGACTATCTGATCCAGAGTTAGCAGACGACATTGTGCTGCTAAGTGAAAATTCAGGTACGTTGCAAGCTTTTCCGGACAGTTTGAGTACTAGTATACTCATGTTCTATATGCGTTTTACACCTTCAAAGTGTGAAATATTTCTACAAGACTGGGTTGGTTCATCATTCAGCCTCACTCTAAGTGGGAGAGTAATAGAGCAGGTGAATAAGCTTTGTAACCATATCTCACCTGGTGGACACTTGACGGATAAAATATCGGATGATATGCAGAAGGTTCGGATGGCATTGGAAAACTTAAGCCATTTGTACCGCCACCGTGACATCCGACTGTCCGTGAAGGGTCGAGTGTATACTGCGGCAGTTCAACCGGTTCTCTTATGCGGCACCGAAACGTGGCCATTAAGAAAACAGGATAAAAGTAGACTGTCGGTGTTTAGACACCGCTGTCTACTGCGCATTGCACGAATGTGGTGGGGAAGCGGGCCAATCAATACTGAGGTTAGGCGCAGAGTTTTGGGTAATCGCGGTCTTCCACTGAAACAAGTAGTCGACCTCCAAAGACTGCGGTGGTTGGGACATGTGTTGCGCACGTCACCAACTAAGTCACCACGGCGCGCGATGTTTGTCGAGGGCAGATGGGCAAATGTCAGACTAAGACTGGGCACGAGGGTTTAAAAACCCTCTGCAGAACACTGGATCACATAATTACCGTTATGCTCCCTAGATAGGGACCCCGAGATCATGGTAATAGGTGATTAGAGATACGGTACTATAACTGAGTATTGTAAACAGTGGCGCTCGTGTATTTAATTTATATTCTTGCAACCCTATTCGGTGTTTACCCTCCATCTTCTTGGATTGCTCTCAACTTTCCAATCTTCATTCTACTCTTTTATCCAAATGGGCAGCTTAAAGAGAACAACCGAAACCATTACATGAAAATGAATAGTTAATGGTTGTGAAAAGTGAACTAAACTGATTCGAACGAAAAGTTGTATGTGCAATCTTTCTAACTAATAGCTTTCTCATTGTAACCATCCGACCGCTTGTCCAGTATAACTGTTTGCTGAACGACGCCGTTTTCCGGGAACAGTTAGAAACAAACTGTTCACTTTTTATCGTCTCTCATCGGTTTATATCCTGTTGATCATTCCCGGTCTGTTCCGAACACAGCTCATTCTGGTATGGTTTTTCTTTCTCAAACAGATGCGGAAAAAGGATAAGTACAACCTTGAAGAGGCTATCGAAATTGCTGTCCGATGCCTATCTCATATTCATTCGATGGAATTCAAAGCCTCCGAGTTAGAAATTGGTGTGGTTTCAAAGGCCAATCCGGTGTTCAGGTAAGTGATTCGATTAGGTTTGGCTTTGTGGCTGTACGAATTCGACGTGTATTGTCCCTAATGCTTCGCCGCACACTTTTCGTCAAGCGTCATGATCTGTTCGTCTCGGCTATTTGACCACTTGATATGCTATTTTCCTTTCCAAATCACATCAAGTTTATCCAGTGCTAATCTTTTCAAGAACACATTGAATTCATCGTGACTGAACTCGATTTACAGTTTCGTCTTATGTCTGCACAGTATCCAATTTAGGCGATTTGTGCAGGGGCCATTAATTGTGCCCGGGTTCGGTGATTTTGTCTACCAATTGCCGAATACGTTTGCGATTTTTGCGCTGAACAATTGTTGTCATTTTCGTTTATCCAAAAACAAAACTTTTATGGTACCGTCGCCTGTCTGAAAAAAATGTCTGCACTGATTTTGGTTACATCCCATCCCCATCTAACCAACGTTGTTTTTCTCCTTACCCATCCGTCTGTTCCCTTTATAGAAAACTGACAGTGGACGAAGTGGATGATTTGCTCACTGCGATGGCCGAGAAAGACTGAGGTCCTGTGCATAATTAAAATAAATTCCTATTTGCCAACATTTCTACCATTCGTTGTTTTCTGTCTTCGATAAAAGTCTATGGAATACTTGGAGATGATATTATGAATCTTCCAACTGAATGAACTGCTTGTAAACTTCCCTTTGCACTTAAACTCAATTCTCGGACTAAGCGCGAACCATTGAGCTTGTCTGTTCCTGCCTAAAGATGCTCCAGTGGTCTAATTTACGCCCTCGTTCATAGATTATTAACTTTGCATGTATAGCCGTATTTCATATCTGGTTTCACCACGATCGTACGGTTCAGTCTTGCTTTACTTACTTGTATTTAAGTTATTTCCGGTTCCGTTGGCATTATTTTTTCTTTCGGCCACCACGGACTTGAAGTAATTGAATTTTGACCTATGAAACAAGGTTTGTTTTGTCTACTTTGGAGCTATCCGTGCTTGACAGCAAAAATTTGTCTACCGCAGATAGATTTCCGAGATTGTTAACTTCAGTTTGACACCACTCGAAACTGTTTTTAACAGACAACCAAACAACTCTATAGGGTGTTGAAATTCTCGCTGTCTGTCAAAGAGAAAACTGCAGCTTTTTATGGTAGAAAAATCCCGGAAAATTTACCGACAAAAGTAAAATGCGCGATTTGCACGGAAGTACTGCTATCGAAAGCTTCCGGACAGGCAGCCAAATGATTTATTAATTTGCTTCTTGGCTCCCAAATTGGGTCATTTCACTGCAGCTGAGTGATCATGAGTAACTGAAGATAAAAAGTACATTGTCCTACTTAAATAGCCAAGTAATCCTTCGGTTGAAATGCACATCTATCCCTGCACCCCATAACAATGAATTCCAATGTGACAGATACCACAAATTAAACAGACACCGTTTGGTGGACGGACGGACAGGTGCTCTCAGATTTCTCTGAGCTATTTCAGAACGTCTGGCAAAAGCGGATTAATTTGGACGATCCCGATGGTATTCGCTCTGCGACGTAGTACCTGGATATATTTGCCAATATATTTACTGCGAACAGTTTTAGACTATTTATAAGTAGTAAAAAAAATTAACTGCAAATTGAAATGGAACGGACATCTACCACGTACGAGCTGCTGTGAACCAAACTGGTTCTAACTCGCCTGGTGATGGTGGTGTGTTCTCCCAGTCATCCTATGTTAACTAGTAACTACGTCAGCTGTCCTAGTGTATCCTTTCTTTACAATTTGAATACCCAGATCAGTTCTTTCAAAATAACCTCCAATCCGAGTGACCTTCGAATCTTACAAAGAAACAGGAATACGGGATACAAATCTATAGGTAGTATAAAAACAGGTGATCGCAAGGAAGTTTCTTGTTCTGCTGTATCAGGTTGTCACATGGGTGCTGCATAATTTTTGGCTAATCTGCTTGCCTGAATACAGCTCACTTTGAGACCGGGTCAGAGGTGAACGAGGAGAGCAGACGAGCGTAGAACATCTGGCGGGGATCAATGGTCGATACATCGAGGAGAGCAGCAGCCCAAAGCTGAGTGACATTCAATAAATAATAGTAGTGGAGAAGTGGATGTATTAGTTGATCGAAAAATTGATTGGCGTTATGATATGAAGAGTAAAACAAACACCAAAGAACGCATGTGGTGTATGTTACATTCCTGGCTCATAAACTTTATGATTTGTACATTTTTGTTAGCTATAGAACACTCACTTCTCTTCTAGAGTTTTTAACGCCCACACACACAAATCTGCATGTCACAAATAGTTGAAAAAAGGTAATCGGTGTAGGTCAATGGTTCACAACTGTTGAATAATTTTCATCCGAGAGAAGTTTAATTCCGTTACTATTTCTTTAACTACCTGGGGTTGAAGGACAGAGTATTGTACAACCAGACAAGTCGACAGGTTTTCTTGATAAACTCAAACCAAGTTGGGGTCTCAACGGTTGCGCAGTTTTTACATCAAGAAGTCTGGTATCATTTTTTCATGTGATATGTTGCATCACAACAATTGTCTGACAATTGAAATATTTTATTGTTGATTCTCGAATGACGTCAGTGAAATACGCAATTACCTCCACATTTCAATACCAAACGCCCTGGCAATATGGACTGAAACACTGATGCCTTGGTGATTCGGAAAGGTTATTTAAATTGTCGTTTTGACATGCAAACCTTGAAGTTCAAATATCGATTTGAGACGCAGTTTCAGGCGTCAATCCAAATGGTAGTTTGTACTGCGATAGACCGGACAGTGACCGATCAGTGGATAATTAGCGTTCAGCGGTTCCGTTTTTGGATCTAGACTGTATAGAGTAAGTTAATGTACGACGTCTATACGGAGAACAAACCGCTTTGGTGCTTAGCGCATTAGAGTTCAGAGTATATTCAGCTCTGAACAATACATAGAGAAACGATTTACAAATCACATGGGTAATATTAACGATTTACACACATTTAGATTCAAATAGTGATAAAGAGGAACGGAAAAAGGTGCGAATTACCGAGCAAGTCAGATGAATGGAGAAATCCATACTGTACGTCGATCTGTTTACATGTTAAGTCAAAAGACGTCTGTTTTTTAATATTATAGTTACTGCATGCCATTATGGAATTTGATTCGATTAGATTGTGATTGTCGCATTGTACAGAGCAACTGAAACAAGAACTAAAAACCTATGAAGGATTGTACGCTTACGAGAAAAAAATGAAAAGCTGCCTGGTGGTCAGACAGGTACCATGCTCTCATTCTGCCCTTCAGGTTCCCAATTTAATCGATGGATCCACGCTGCTGATGAAGCCCGACCAGGTCGAAACAGGTATACTGGGCTTCTTAGCTTTTTAGTTCAAGCTTGGTTTGCTATGTACACAGTGAATTTCACTGTCAAACTATTATTTGTGGCTGAAAAGTAATACGTCTTATACTTGGTTATTATATGTAAATTTGTGGAAGATACCCATAATTTTATCAAAAGACAAACAATCTAGCGATTAGGCTTTGTGGTTTGTCTTTTATTACATTCTAACGTTATGTAAAGAGGGAAAAGTTAAGATGCCTGGTTTCTACTCGAACCCATTCGTCCACGTTCATCTGGTAAGTGAGCACCCTACAGAAGAGTGAGCAATGTTCGTCCGTTGGTTCAAAGCCTACCGGGGGTAATAAGCCTATCATGGTTCAAACAAAAGAGAAAACACATACTGCGAAACAGTAACCATCTTTAATCTCCTTTTTTGAACTTGTGCATGTATTAGATGATTTATCATCTCGTATGATGTTTTATATTGATGTTGATTCCTTTTTTTACAAAAGGAGAATCAGTAGCGTTTTTATGTGATCCTATCTCTTCACTGAATATCCACGTTTTTATGCCCATTGATTATCTAGAGGACTTTAATCATTATTTGCACTGGGAACATATGTTTCAATTTGAAGGAACGGCTCAAAATCAAGTTGACGGTGTAGCAGTCCTCCGCGCCTAGCGTTAGCTGACTTGCTTTTATGAATGGTTAAAAGACGATTGCCGGATAGTATTTCAGAAAAATCACATAAAACATCGAGGGGATTGGCGTGAATAGAATAGGTAGACCATCCCCGTCGCATGCCTTAGTATGGCTACCCTCATTGCGAAACAACTGCAGAGTCCGAACTCAACTACTAAAAGTTTAGTCAGTAGGCATATAGGACAACCTAAAAAGGTAGCTTATAAATCGTTGATCAGGCAATCATCTTCGAAAGGTTGCCTAACAGTTAACTTGTACTTAGTTATCGTGTTCACATTTAGGCACCTTTGACGAATATGCCCTTTATGACATTCAGTTACAAACAGAATGTAGCAGTATGTATCCAAAGCATGGAAGGACTTCACTGGTTTCATCAGGTCCACTGACAACACCATCGCATTTGGGTTACTCATCGTTCGAAGACACACGGATCCATTTTCTGACGAAAATAAAAGATTTTCGAGTAATCTAGTCTGAAGAAATCAATCACAAAATAACAACGGTCAAGCTATTGTTTTTCAATGAATGATTTTACGGTCAGTTTCAAGGCTTTGTTCAATCCCAATTATCACTTGCTACTTGTGAGAATCGAACGAAAAATAATCACCGAGCGTAGGGACGAGAGGCGGAAACTGCAAGAAATTTCCACCTGGATATATTGCTTCTTTTTTCATTTATTCAACACAACACCAGCTGGATATTTTTTAAGTTAGTGGAAGGGAACCGAAGATGTAGGTGAAGTTGAGGTTCGAATGACCAACTAAAAGTTGGTCAACGAGGAGATTAGTGAGCGATTCATGGTTCGAAAAACCCAAAGTAATTCTCCATGACATTATCAGTTGCATGGAGTTATTCGTTAACCTATCTAATATAACTGACTGAGTAACATTGTAGATTTTAGGAAGATAATCACGCTCGTGGCTGAATGCCACTGTCTTTGATATCAAAGTAAGTTGTACACTCAACGTCGATGCATCGGTACGATTTTTTAACACCAACACAGCATTCAGTTTGGTAAATAAATTCCGGTTATACTGATGCGATGCGGTTGGTCAATTCTAATCTTATTAGTCTGTTTGTCTGGAGTGCCATATATATAAGCGACTTGAAGTTTCCTTCCAATCATAATAAATCCGCAAACCTAAACTCAAAAACCGTTTTTGCGCAACATAAACCCAATATTACAAAATCGAAACTTGTACGGTGAAGCTGGCGGAAAAAGTACCACCATGATTCAAGCCCACTGTTGGCTTAGACACATCGAGGCCACGTTCGTCATCTTGAAGTAGCTGGAGATAGAAAGAACGAAACATGATTAATAATGATGCTATACATTATATTATAATGTATTATGATAATATATATTATATATTATATTATTATTATATTGTATTATAATTATAATAATTAATTATATTATGTGTTATTATCATTGATAGTTTTCACGAACTCATATTCACAGAGGAAGTGGTGAAGTATCATCAACTCGGTTTTTTTTGGACGCGGTAATCTCCAGAATAGCATTTCGAATTCTGAATACAACGATCTACCGCAAAGCAACGCACGCGAATGAAATCCTAAACTTCAGAAGTAATGGTGCACAAGGCCACAAAAGATGGTACTTTAGGATTTGTTCGGAAAAATCCAGTCATACTTCATCACTGACGCAATCAAAAACAATGGAGAAAGACATCTCTTTATAGTGTTCGTTTGCAATGGCAACATCCGTAACTTCATCCAAAGAACTGTGACCGAACGCTGGATAATCAGGAACAAGGACAAGTCTACCCTACTTGAAATACGTTTCACAAGTGACATCAAGACTATTCAAGAGATGCGGAATCTAAATCGCCCACAAACCGACTGTTTGCCAAAGGGAATGTCTTTAAAGCCAGAGAAGAAAAAGTAGGGGGAGCATTATCCACAGAATAAACTCGAAGAACTGCCTCCAAAAACCACTATCAAAGAGGATTCGTGAATGATATTCGGCAGTCCGAAAACATGACACTCACCCATTTCCTTTCGTGAAGATCAAGATGGATGTGAATTCGACTTCGATTGGGCTAAAATCATCGACCAAGCCCGGTCAAAACATGCCAGGCTACGAAACGTCTGTGAACAACACTTCCACTTAGGAGAACACACTACCAACCATATTTTTGAGGTATTTTAGTTCGGATCATTTGTTCACGCTGTTGTCACTCAAGAATGAAATAACGCAACAAAAGACATTTCACATCTTACCTGGAAAGGAATCGGAAAATCGCAATCCGGACGGAACAACAACTGTACCCCCAACACACGCACCCTACGTGCTAATTCAACGATCAACTGGATTAGGAACAACGGGAACAAAGCAGAAAAGTTTCTCTCAAGAAGAACTTACATCAGTGATAGAATAGCAGCAGAACACCGCTACTCCGCAAGCACCGAAAATGTCACCTAGGCTGCAGATGAAACGTTCATAAACAAATTGCCAAACTCGGTGAAGGAACGAAAATGAATGTGTATTTAATCGCAACACTGAAGCATACTTATTTCTCTGGACATGAAATAGTCCTTGTTCTTAAATAATTATTGGAAATAAGACATTGAAATACAATCGATTGTCTGCACACTAATAGAGACAATGCCTGAGTTGTATGGCCCACAGAACGTTATCCAATAAACAGGTGCGCCAGGTAATGCAGAATCCCAACCATTCACGTCGTTCACTGTTCATCTTGTCACCTCAGGGGGAATTCATTCAAGTTAATACCTCAAAACTGTCCAGTAGAATCCTGGCATCATTTCTTTGCCTTCAGAGTGTGTGGTATTTGAAATTCTCTACTATCTCACATTTTTTCTACTCCCGCAGTTGGTTCTTTCAAGCACAAACGGAACGAATTATTGTCAAGTCTTAAAATTCGACATTTGTATCAGTGAACGAAAGAGCGAGAATTTGTGATATTCCTTATCTCCTCTTTTTGATCGATCGGTCAATTCAATTGTGCGGAAAACCGTATGGGACGAGAAAACCAAACGCGTGTAAGTATTTCCCATAGTAAAATTTTGATGTCCAGTAGATAAGCGTGATAATAAATTATTTTAATGAGTTATTTTGCGACTAACCGACTGCACTGGTCACCCCTCAAAAGACCAAATTTCATACATTTAACCTTATCTGATCTTACATGGGCACAGGATCGCATTTGACAAATCAACGATAAAACAATCCCCTTGCTCATCCGGCTTAACCCGATTTGATAAAAGAGCAGTAAGATAGTACAAAATATTTATCAGCTTTTTTGTATTTCGTTTTGTGCTATACAAATCTAGTATTTGCCATAGCCATAACCATGACCATAGCCGTGACCATATCCGCCATATCCTCCATATCCATGCCCGTAACCACCATAACCATGTCCGTAGCCGTGTCCGTAGCCACCATAACCATGTCCGTAACCGCCATAACCATGTCCGTGACCATGTCCATAGCCATGTCCGTAACCGAAATCACCGTAGCCATGTCCATAGCCATGACCGTAGCCATGACCATAACCGTGACCATAACCGTGACCATAGCCATGACCATGACCGTAACCACCGTAGCCATGACCGTAACCACCGTAGCCGTAACCGTCTTTGCCGAAGTACGTTTTACCGTAGTGGCTGTAAGCTCCGTGATGCTTGTAGTTCCCGTAGCCTAGATTTCCGTAGCTACTGTAGGTGCCATGTCCGCTGTAGCCAGTGTGAGCGTTGGCATTGGCCAAGGCAAGGAAAACGGAGATCAGGAGGATGGAAGCGAGTTGCATTTCTTCTTATGGTCCGATCACGTTTTAGGCAATGAGTTCGCTCTATTTCACCACCTTTTATACATATTCGATGTCGGCGCTGGATTGACCATTTATGCTTCGAGCTGGATGATAACGATTCCACTGGATACTTGACAAAGGGGATGGGGTTTAACCGGGGTGGGGTGGGGTGGGGNGGGGGTGGGGGTGGCGATTCGCGTTAGTGAGAAACAGAAAAAGTGATCGATTGTATGAACTCTGACGGGGGAAAGAAGAATCACGCAGTCATTAAAAATTGATTGTTGATTGCGCACTGAAAAATATCGATCTGAGATAATGGCAAAGCAGCGTAGTGAAGCAACTAAATGAGTGCAAACTTTCGAGGCACTAGCCGTAACGAACATTTAATCAGTAGTTGGTATGAAGCAGACAATAAGACGAATCTGGTCATGCAATGTATGAACTGGTAACATCCTAATGATCATTCAGTCAAATCCTTGTGTGATTCTCTCAAGCATTAGTCAAATTTTACAAAAAAATACCAATAATTCCATTAGCGAACAATGTGCACGAAAAGTTAGGCCACCCATATTCACGAAATGAGCGAATCAACATTTTCAAAGTGAAAAACAGCTGTATATCCAACTACATCGAGCAATTGTGTACCAGCATCACAGAAGAGGAATCTTGCACGCGAACCTCTGCCTTCGATCAATGAATGCATAATGGTTAAAAATGGCAATTTTACACATACATAATCCACCAAAAAGGTTTCAGCTAGACACTACCTTTTCAAACCACTTACACACGCTAAAAAGTATTTTGCAACAATTTGGTGAATAAAGCCTGGATGAACTAATGGTAAAGTTGTTGAATCTGCTTGCCACCGTCCGGACTTTTTCACCTACAAGTCTGTCTAGTCACTTCTCTCTCTCATTTGTCACTGTCTTGACCCGTGCGTGTTATCGATCATCAGACATGTACTTTTCTCTACGATGCTTTGGTTCTTATTGATTCATACTCAAAACGGCCTGAAGTATTTCTGACAATTATGCCAACAACAACCTTCTTGATCCAGGCCCTCCGAAAATGCTTCAGTCGGGAGGGTATACCGCAAGTGCTCGTCACAGACAATGGATCTCAATTCAGTGCCAGGGAGATGAAAGCTTGGCTCGATAGCATTGGATGTCGACATTTACGAGCAGCCCCAAGACATCCCTGTTCGAATGGTCAGGCTGAGAATCTTGTGAAAACAGTCAAGAGTGCACTGGCATCCGCGAATCCGAAATCACTTGCGGACTTGGAGACGTTTCTGGACAACTTCCTACTGCAATACCGAAACGCGACACATGCGACTACTAAGGAAAGTCCGGTAAAGCTATCTAAGTCACGGTGCCTGAGGTCTTCCCTGAGATGTATGGATTCTACTGATGTGACATACTTCAGGGGCAACGATCTACGCCCGGTTCGCGGCATCATCACTAGAAACTTGGGTCAGTCAATGGTGGAGATAACCCATTTAACTGATGCTCCTATCCACCAACAGCACATCGATCAGATCCACTTCAGAGACGAACGAAATGCGGTGCATCGGAACCCCATGAAAAAGAGAATAACCCTACCAATTCTGAACTGCCTGAATCGGACACTACGGTTCCCCAATGTCATGATGTTGAACAAGAAGATGCAATGCAACAGGTAGAACCGGAAGCCTCAACCAGTGCAACACTAAGGAAATCACAACGAAGAGCAAGTCGAATTGATGAGGAACTCTTGAGAGAGGAAAGTTGTGGTGATCGTGCAACGAGTACGCATGTACTACCGTACAGCTTTCAGGTAACCAATCAGGAAAAAGATTTCCCGACAAATTCTGTGGTCTCAATTGGCACCAATCGGATCGGCTGAATGAAAGAAGGCAACCAAATGAATCATATCGTTGTCAGTTGGCCATTGAAGAATTTCCCGAAGATTGTCTGATGCTTGTGATATTTATTTGCATCATATTCCGAGTACTACACCTAGGTACGTTGAGCTCGTCCGTGCCATTTTAGATTGAGAACGAGTAGTGCGCTTATTTCACTGGAACCTTTTAGTTCATGGTTGTTTTGCATTTTTCCTGTCTTGCAGGTTGTTTAGAAATCAACTTCTTACGGAAAACCTACTGTCCGAAATGTCACCTACCTGTGCATTGGTGACGGCTGTGTTGGGCCGCGTTTACCAATTTGTTCGATACCCCGAAGAGGGTTCTATCTTTGCGGCGTTCCATGACGACGCTATTGGCACCAGAAATTCGGATCTTGTTAACCGGGATTAATCACCTGCCGTGTACTAAATACCAGTGGTAGCGGTGGGCTAAGTCCAGCATGTTATATCTGATGAGGTGAGATATTATTTCAGGTGAATGCAACCATTCGATCCGGAAAGAGGTTCGAATTACTGTTTGGTAGTGTCAGAGGATTGGAATATTGCGGCTGTTCTAGTGTCCATTTAAGTTAGCTCCCTGTGGATATCCGAGGGACTACTGAGACAACGGATAACAAAAAGTAAAGTCCATATCACAAGTAATTCAAAAATTAAAACAACATGGTGAGTTGTTGAAAACATCAGTCAATGAGATAGACCTTACTGCTGCTCAATACTGTCTTCGGTACAGACGTATGAAATTGTGGCTTTGAAAATGTACATTCGCCACATTGGCGGTTTGATATGATCAACAAATTGCGGACATTCGACTTATTATCATTATGCTAACTGTTGAATTTGACCCCAGTAGTGTTGTATTCATTTGATTTAGGCCTCCCCAGTCAAGTGAGAAAAAACAGCATAACATCAACCTGAAATTCGTGCGTTCGAGGTGCATAAACGTTGACGATTTTCTGCGCCTTCCCAGGGTGATTGTGGATTGGTCACAGCTCCCTTCTTAAAAATTTACCGCACAATTTAAAATTCAATAAATGAAGAAGGGAGCAGAACAATTATTGCCAATGCTACCTATGTGCACATGCGTCAACTAGGACTTGTCTAAAACTAAAATGCACGCATATTAGAGAATGTGTCCGTCATAATAGTATCTTGGATTTGCTGTTTATCGATTAAAGTTATCGTTAGACGTGCACAACTAAAACAATCGACTAAGCCAGACAGAAAGCACAGAGCACACTGATTCAAAAAATCACAAATTCAGCGTATGTAAGCACATCAGTGGGCACACGATCACAGATCAGTTGATGTGCATCCGCTCCCTCAGGGTTATTTATTTGTCTTGAAACGGTTATCGAGAAGTCATTGAATGATAATCTCTATGTTTAATACCGTAGTAGGGATATTCTAACATTTACATCTCTAAAATATATGGCAAGTAATTCACCAGAAATTCCCAAGGTGTTTGATCAAAACAATGAATACCAGAACCCACTAGTTCTTTTTCCCTACGGAGATCAAAAAGGCCGGTACATAACTAAAGTGAATTTTTATTGCAACTGTCTCTCATTTGAGCATGAGTCGGCTCCAAGATTATCCCTGAAAGCAGCTACCCAGACACACGGTGCTCCACAGATAGACCAGCACAAAAGGATTTCCAGCTGTGGTTTAATTCACTCCAGTCATAGAACAATTTCTCCGTGT